TAGAGTAATGTCCCACTATTCAAAGACATTAGAAGTGTTTCAGAATATACTAATGAAACATCTTTGCAACATTTTTATTTTTTAACGTTACTGACAGTAACTGCAGACTCACAGCACTGAGTATGAACTATTTAGTAATTTATGTAGGGTTAAATTCTTTAGTTTGAAACTTATAAACATATTTTGAGTTTAAACTTCAATTATTATTCTTTTGTAATGAGCTTTTATGACCACATGATGGCACTGTGGTTTAATCCGTAAACCTACAAATTCACTTGTCTTGGCAGAGCGAGAAACTTTGAAGAATTCCCCCAAGTAAACCATGAAAGACAAAGTTGTGAAGGCTGCAGCCGGCCGATTAAAGAAAGTATGACTTTAAAAGAGCTGCTGTTGTGATCTTGTTTCTTGTGATCCATAAATATTGAGCAAAAGGAAAAGCGATGCTTGAGTGGGGACTGCAGCACCTCGGTAGCTCAGCAGATGAATGAAGATGCAAATGCAGGGAGGGGGAATTTAAAGCCTTTAGTGACACTAAGCTCACCCCAGAGGCCACATTGCAGAAAGCTCTGCCTCAGCATATCAAGGTCGAAGCCCGACCGTCTGCGCGTCCCGTTGGCACGCATTACATCCAGTTCATCTGCATTTCCAGCCAGACAAACTCTTGACTCCATATGCTAAACTGAGCCAATGACAAGGGACAGATGTGTCCTCCTCAGAGAATCCAGTTTCATAAGCTGCTGCTCTACAAACTATTAAATACCCAAAAGAAACCTCCGGGATGGAGTAAAAAAAAAGCATTCTATTTTACATGAGAATGGATATGTCTGGAAAGCGTAACCTGGCTTTGCTTTGGCTGTAAATGTCAATTTCATGTCAGATTCTTTCTCTATTCATCCATGTGATTGCTTTATCCCTTTGCATAAGAATAGATCGCTGGCCTATTCTTTTGATTTTGATAAATGGGAAACATGTTAAAGGATGGGCTCGGAGACAGTCACATTGCCAGAAAACTCTATAGAATATGAAGTTGTGCAATAGACTATAAATTTATGCAGTTACACTGTGACATTTCTTATCATCTTTACAAAAAACATCTCAAATATAAAATTTTCTCAAAATCTCACTGAATGAAATAAATCAAATCTTTGAAAATGTATCTAAGCCCATACTTTAAGTTATTTCCATTTGGTCTCATGTTAATTACACTTTTATTAAATGCCACTCAATCAAGAGTTTGAAGAGTAACTTGTCATCATAATTACAAAGTTGTTTTTTTTTAATGGTGTATCTATTACAGCTTGGTGCCTCTGGAGACTGAAATGTTTGCATAGTTGTCTCAGTAAAATATAATCTCAGTCAGAATTAATAGAAAGTAACTGTTAACATTAATTTTCAAGTCCTGCTCAGATTTTTATTGGATTTAAGTCTAGACGTTCGACCATTTTAAAATATAAACATGCTTTAGTTTGTTTGCCCGGGGGAAACCGGCAAAGGACTGAAAAAGTTGCTCAAAGGATTCGGATAATTTGACACAGTGCAGTGTGAAAGCAAACCACACCAGCTGAAAATTTAACAAATGTTGCAACTTTGATCTTCAGTCAAACTGAATCTGAAGTTGTGCAATAGATGCAAATGCATCTATTGCACAAATTACAAAATTTAGAGGAAGCGTTTCAGGAACACAGCAAAATGCATGCAGCCAAAATAAGCGTATTTTGCTCTGAGCAGTTTGTTGTGTGATTGGTCAGAAGTTTGCAGCCATGTTTTATGCAAAAATGCACTCAGACAGCAATGTTAATATTTCACTTCAACTTCATGTAACCCCTTGAGGAATCACAAACATTTGTGGGATTCTTCACTAAATAACTACAGAGATTGTAAATTATAAGGTGTGAAAACTAAAAAGTAAAATTTTGGCTACTTATATGCAGAGTGGTTTATTAAGAGTCATACTTTATACTGGTCTATCACTTTCCATTCCCACAATTTGCCTCAATGACCCTAAAGAGTTTGTTTTCATTTTTTCTTTTGGCCAGCTGAAAGAAGCTTCCTGATGGATCCTTGCAAAATAGTGTCACAACCGTGATGGCCCCTTGTGGCATGTTGTTTCTCTGAGTCAGTCAGGCATACAGAAGTACAGCTTTCCTCTCCACTGCTTACAGAAATGCGGTTGAGCCCACAGCAGGTGAACCTGTCAGAGTCAGCACCTGCAGCATCCTAACAGCCAGCGGGGGAAAACTGAAGGACAGAGAAAGTTTAGTCATATGTAGCTGTCCTCTGCTGCCATGGGAGCTTTGTGATGAATGTGAATGTGTCTGAAGACACCAGAGTTTAATGTTTTACACAGCAGAAATATTAACAAGTTTGTACTATAAACACAATAATTATTCATCAGAAGTGTGCCAAAAATAGATTTGCATAAGAATCTTTAATCGTATTTACTATGATTCAGAGTTGACATAAAATGTCCCAGGGTCTACTTTAAAAATTAAAACTATCCACCTGCTGTCAACCTCTATTTTGTAAATGCACAGGGCATTCTGATGTCAACATGCAAACGTTACTGAAACTTACACATGCATGGGAAACATCAACACCAGCAGAAAACTAGAAAAGAGAGAGAGAGATAACTGGCCCCATCTGTGTCAAAGGCAAACATTTGGACTCATTTAGTTTTTTTAACTGAATTCCCACGAAAACCAAAGTTGACACACGCTTCACCGTGTGCAGCGTTTACAAAATTAATAGGAAGCGTTTCAGGAACACAGCAAAATGCATGCAGCCAAAATAAGCGTATTTTGCTCTGAGCAGTTTGTTGTGTGATTGGTCAGAAGTTTGCAGCCATGTTTTATGCAAAAATGCACTCAGACAGCAATGTTAATATTTCACTTCAACTTCATGTAACCCCTTGAGGAATCACAAACATTTGTGGGATTCTTCACTAAATAACTACAGAGATTGTAAATTGCTAAAAACTCCTGGATGGAAATTGCAATGTCATCGTCCACGGAGGAGGCTGTCTGCTGAAAGGTGCAGCGCTCTCTCTGTAACCTATAATGTCTCCATTTGTCATTCTGCTTTGCAAGTCAGCCAGGGGTACATCATGTGGATGCTTCTTACGCCTATACATTGAAGAAGAAATTACTACAAATAATCATTTTGAACCAAATCATGGTGCCAAACTCAGAGTCGAATTGAATTGTGAGATAGTAAAACATTCCTACTCCTATTATTCATGAAGTTGTCGCTATACATCATTCTAAATCCAGCTGTTCTTTAAAGGCTGCAGGTGTTAGAGAGCATTAGTGAACAAATAGCATCATTAATATTTCAAAAATTATGGCACAACTCCAGCCCGTCCATGTAAGCTGACAGGCTGGCCTGGCAAATTTATAGGAGCTGCAGAGATCCACAGCTCAGATGGATAAAATGTTAACCAGATATATTAGTCACACATTACAAAATATGTGACTAATTTTGTAAATCTTGACTTTATTCTCTTGAAAGAAAACTGAAGTTTAGTGCAACCCATGCTGACTCAGAAAAGACATAAAACAATGTACTCTTGCTGAATGGGATGAAATAAAAACTGGCCTGTGTTGGATGCTATTTGTGCCAGAAAACTAACACTCCACATAATCCTGAACGCAACATCTTTATGCTGAGCCATGTTGGTGGCAGCATCCTGCTGTGGGGATGTTTTTCCTCAGGATGGACCAACACACGGGGCATAGTTGATTAGAAGATGGATGGGATGTATAAGAATAAAATCCTGGGAGAAAACCTGGGAGGTTGGTGCAGCAGGACGGCAGCAGCACAACGGAGGAATGGTTCAGATTAAAGAAGTTCATTTGTTAGAATGGCCCAGTCAAAGTCCACATCTAAAACTAAGTGGACACAGATGCATGGTATGTTTTTGCAGATTTCTATTTGTGAAAAAGTTTGAAAATCACGTTATTCGTTCCTTCATTCTTCCCATGTGTTGGTCTCTCACAAATCAAAAATCACAAAAATAGGTTGAAGTTTGGGGAAAAGTTTAAGCAAAATAAGCACTTCAATAATCACTATAACTCAAAGGCATGTCCTTTTGGACTTTCAGAGCTTTGCTCATACAGTTGTTGGCGCTATAATCTGTTTAAATGTTGATTTATGGACTAATAGACCATAATTGCTGCTCAGTGCCAGTGTTAATCCAAGCTGTCGCCCTCCTGAAGCACATTAGGCTAGCTTTGTGTAATGAAGTAATTAGCTCAATTATGACGAAGAAAGTGGGGACGGTGTTAGAAACTGGGAACAAGAAGAAAGAAAGTAGTCGAGTGCCATGAGTGTTTTTCATCATGGTATTATGAAACTGTCTGGGTGAAGTAGTTGAGAATGATCCTGTTGAGAGCAAATGATTTTCTAAATTAAAGCCCACAGATTTCAAGAAAACCCATAAAAATTAGTTTTCCCTTCAATTGGCTCCCCGGTGTTCTGGGTTCCATTTTGTCATCTAATCTTGGATATCAACTTATTTTAATTTTCTTTTTTTTTACATTTGAAATAAGATACTCCTCTAATTTAGTTTTGGCTTCCTTCAGCCAGCAGACGCTGCCATGACAAACAACAGTTCTCCATTGTCTGCTGGTATTGTCATTGTTATTAGTCCTTTGGATTGCCTGTGGAGGTATCGGCGAGCTCAGGGGGAAATAGACGCCAGGCCGGATAATTAGTTGTTCTTCGATGCCAGACGGGCACAGTGCCGTCATGTAGAGGGGAAATGGAAAGTGGCATCCCTATCAGAGTAACACCGGAATAACCTTTGGTGTTAAGGCTGGGTTCCAGTGCATCTGTCACATCACAATGCAGATAACCCCTGGCAAGACAATACTGCCTACTGATCAAAAAAACATTCAGAGTGGGTAATTATTAAACTAAAGAGAAACCATTCTCTGTATTTGTTGAAATGAACAACTATGATTGGAGGAAATCTGTAAATCTTACATATCATGGACACACAATTGAAGATTTTGTGTATTTATTTGCTGACACTCAACCAGAAACATTTTATTGTTCTGGAAACATCCTAAAATCATCAACCTGATTCCCGAGAAACAAGAACGAGGATGAAGAGTAAACCTGCGCAGGTGACCAAGCTGAGCAGGATGCCGTACAAAACAGGCAGAGTCACATCCAGAGGCCCCCTCGGATACACGGGGACCGGCGCCCTCTTCACGATCAGATCCAGGTCACGCCACGACACATCCTCAACTGAAACACAGCACAAACAAGCCAAACATGCTCAAGATCATGAGAATTATGGGAATGCATTTTTGTTGACAACTTTTCACCTACAGTAATCTCAGGAGAGTAAATAAAGGGAGAGGTGATAATTACATTTTTGAGTCTGTTAATGTCCTGGGAAATATACTTTGTAAAGTGAGAGTGTTGATGTTGAGGAGTAATGAGTTGGAAGCATGCCCACAGCCACCACATCTAATTCAGCATCTCATCTAAACACTTAATAGATTCAGGGTTCAGTGAAACATCATTCAGACAATCTCTGGGGCTACTAACCAAAATCCCCCCTTTGGCATCAATAGAATGAGAAATTCCTGCTTAAACATTTACAAGGGTCTATTTCTATCTGTATAATAGTCCATCTTTAAATCTGTGAAAGAAATATTATTACTCCTTATCCTTCGTCCTTTATGATGATGGGGGTCCTTGTTCCCCTGTGGATCTGGCTTTGCGTCACTTAGGGCGTGTTTTTTGTAGTCCTCGACGTAACGCTTCAAGTTTAAGATTTTATCCTGGTTGATGTTCTTACCCACTTCTGTGAAACCAAAGGTTCAAAAACACGGTATCATTACACAGTAAAGCATTTGACCTTTCACCTTTCAGTTGACAAATCAAACCTTTCAAATGAATAAATTAGAGGAGATTTCTTCAAAACTGCAGTCAAGTGATCAGTGACTGCTTCATGCTGCATCACGCTGATTCCCACCCTTCCGTATTCCTAACAACTTGTCTTTGCATATTTTCCTTGTACTATTTTTTGTAACTCCAAAAGCTGCTGATGAAAGGAGCAGATGGTTTGTTGTCGGGCTCGTGTCAGCTTCACTGAGTCCTCTGTCAGATCATTTACACCCTCCTTCCCATTGCCACTCAGCTGTGGAGTTGTGTGCAAACCGGACGGCAGCACATGCCAGAGACTGGCAGCGTACAAACTATCCCAGTCTTTAAGATCCAATTAAAACAAACCTCAGAGTAATGAAGTAATTGTTTGCTCTTACTAACGTCTTGGGGAGGCCATCTTGACAGGAACAAATCAGTTTTGAAACTGTGCAGACATGCAGCAGAATGAGGCTTTGTTCCAGTTTCTTTTTGTCAGGGGACATCTTGTGCTTTTGGGATTTACTGCTATCAACGGTAATGCACATAAAAAGCAAGAAGCTTTAATTTGACAACTAACTAATTAGTAGAATCACACAAATTCCTGTTTGTGAAAGAAAATACAATTAAGTGCTGCAAGGGGGAAAACTTTGTGTAGGGGTCCATTTAAAGTCAGGGATATATTACATTATTTTTTAATTTTGGTCAATTTTACATCTGATTCCCAAGCCTGTCAGTCTGTAGTAGTTGAGTTTAGTTTTGAGACTCTGGAAGTTTGATAGGAGAACCAACAAGACCTGAGTTACAGTCAAACAAACGTGGCTCAGATCTGAATGTTGTAAGGTTTAATAAGATTAATCATGATAAATTGATTATGAAAATAATTACCAGCTAACTTAGTAACCAAGCAATCAGAATCTGGAGTACACATATTCTAAAACACAACATAGAAAAACAACAGTCAGAGCAGTAATTAAGCCAAAATTGTACAAAATATATATTATTTGCTATTAAACCATAAAGGTGCATTAAATGTTATTGCATTTTAAGCTATAAAATATTTAATTTATTTAATTTCTTACTAAAAATGGATTTGTATTATTTAATTATTTCATCTTTTAATATTTTCATAATATTGCAAAAACATATATGTAAGTGGTTAAATAAAAAATTGACACAATGTGGCAATTTCTTCGTCTCGTTAGTAAATTGTCAAAACAATTGATAGAAGAATTGATTACTAAGTAATCGTTAGTTCAGACTTTACTGTCATTGCACAACAAAATTTTATTTCAGTTCATTCCATCTAAAGTAGTCAAGGACAATAAATTGCACTATAAAAAATTTGTTTTTATAGGCCAATTTATTTGTAACTACACAACGTTATGAACATAAAAACACAGCAGCACTTTGCATAATAAAAACTGTCAACTGATTAATTACCGTGGTGTGCTTATAAAACAAACGAAACAGAAACAACAGACAAAAACTTCCTATTCAAGAATGAAGCAATAAATAATAAAAGTCTTGTTGAAATGTACCAGACAATTAAAATATCTCATATAAAAGTAATGGAACTTAATTTAGCAAGTCGATGTGTGAATTACACAATTTATTAAACTTTTTGGGTATTTGAAAACATTCTGTTGTGGTGCATTAAGATAAAAATAGTAAAAATGTGTCAATTGTAGCCAACAAGAACAGTCATTCTAACACCCAAACAAACTCATATCCTTATTTACATGTCAAGCTTTCAACATGAGCACAATCATGTCATATTTGACTCTCCTACAAATCATATTGACTCAAAGAACTTGAGGTATTGTAAACTGCATCTTGTTTTTTATGTAGCAGAAATATAGATTGTCTGTGAATATCTTCCATTACTGCTAATGTTCTCGCTCCTTTCTCTCTCTCTGAGAGTTTAATGCTCTCGGTTTGCTTTAGTTCTTCTATAGTATTTCAACTTTTAGCAGGTCCAGTCAAGATCTCCAGTCTTGTAAAACACAGAGTCTTTTCCAAATCTGTGAAGACTGTGAGTGTGTAACTTACCCAGGGCAATGTCTGTTCTGCCGATGTGCTGCAAGGAACGAGAAAGCCTGTCGTAGTAAATTTTTTCACCAAACTTCAGCAGCCAGTTTGTCAAGGATGTCCTGCATTGACTCTTTTCATCTCCTAAACACAAAACATCAGGCAATTAGAGAAACATGACACTGAGCACCAGGAAGCTGCAACAAGCACTCAAAACTCGACATGTTAGAAGGAGCTTCTTTAAAATTATTTTTTCCCCACTGACATCAAACATATTTTTATTTTGGTATAAAAAATACTATATTTGCACAATTTTGTAGTCATTCAACACTGGATTTAGACTTTCAAGTACAATATTACTTGAAATATATCTTGTCAATATTTTTTGCTGTACTCTTATTTTGTCAAAAAATGCATTGAAAATTGATCATTTATGTAACATAAAACAAAAGATGAATGTTTCTTTCTTTATTAAAAAATTGTGAAATAAGTATTTCACTAGAAGTAATGTTTTGTAATAAAAATATCAAAAATAATTAACTTAAAAAACAACAATTTACTGCAATTAGATTCCCCCGCCAGTCTCAAATAACAAATCAGTAACATGATGTATCTATCTATATGCAATATTCTACTCAGTATATTTCATCCCCCTCACTGTTTTATTTTGACATTTTCCCATCTAAACTTTTTTGATGACCCATTATAAAACTCCACAGGGGAACAGTATTCCACCACCTGATAAAAAAAGAACCTTCAACGGTTTTAAGAGGGGTCAAAGGTCTCAAATGAGACCAACCTGTAGCAAAGGCGATGTCTCTCTTGGCTCGAAGTCTAGAATTCAGTCGATTATTTTCTAGAGAGAGACGTTCAATGCGCTGAAAGATGTCCTGCGCTGGGCGAGACAGGGCAAGCAGGAGCTTTTCACACTCCTGGAAGGTCAGCATCTCCACTAAACGCTCCACCTGATGAACTCCAATGTCTACTGCCACTGAAAGTCCAAAAATAAGGAATAATGGCAGCAGCATGCACAATAAAAACAAAAGCAGATAGCAACAACTGCTGCTTTAGCTACTGCCACGTGAAGTTGTGATTGTCTTAATATATCATATTAACGTGAAGAGTCCAAATCTGTGAAAGTGTTTTTCCTGCTCTGTTTCTCTTACCTGTGTCTTCCTGTACCGAGCTCTGGGACAGAAGGAGAAAAAATAAACACAATTTATTGATCTTCATGTCAGCTGTTCAGTCTGTACTCCTTCATCAGTTTGTCCAAACAAGCTTAAATTGATTTAAAGATAAACATACGTCTCAGAAGCTAATCACCAAGGATACTGTTGCTATATTAAAAAATCACACATTATTGGTAGTGTTTGTACTCACATATTTGGTAGCATTTAACACAAAAAATACAAGTTATAACAATAACAAAATGAACTGAAGAAAGTTTAAAATTTTCTGTGAAGTGTTATTGAAATTTGCAGTTCTTATTGAGGAATAAATTAAGGCATTCCCACATTAATTCCCAAATGAGTTATGTGTTTTATAAAGGAGGCACGTAATGACTTCACATTAGGAGAAATTTGTTCTGTTTGTACTTCAGGCAGGACATTTATGGAGGAAGTTGTTAACGATCATGAGTCTGGTTAAGTGTTTATAGAAGTCTAAGGAATTAGAAATCAACCTGAATGGAAAATCTTCTAGAAGTGGAGGAAATCCAAAACAACTTGCCACATTCCTTGGACTTTCCACTCATACAGGTTCAGCCTGAATGCTGACAGCGAGCGATGAAGTGAGGTCTCCAGGGACCCTTAAGTCATCATGGAAGCAAGGTCTAGATCTGTTCTGCTTCCTTTTGAACAAGGAAGCAGAACAGTAGGTCTATGGGTTGTTCAAAACATGTTTAATACACAGATGTTTTCAGGTAATGAGATTTCATCTCAGTTCTACTTTTAATTTTTTAGCTTCTTTCAGAATTACCTGTTTTGTGACACTGTCACTTTTATCCAAATAAGCTTCTGCTGGCCACGCCCCCTACTCATTGTTTTCATTCACTAATATTTTATACATGTGAAAATGGTCTTTTTTTTTTTTTTTTTTTAGCATTTTCTTGGTTTAAACCTGTCAACATAAAGAACTTTGATTCAGTTCAGTCCTTGTAGTACTCAACTGTTTGAGACATATTTTTATTCAGCTCTAATTGTCAGTTTGTGGTTATAGTTCTCTGTGTGTCTTAATTCCAGCTAATATTAAAAACCAGCCATTTTTATTTGTTTCTGTGTTGCTTCGCTGTTCTCTTCAGACCTTTTGAGTTGAATCTGGATCATTTCTTACATCAGGTTGTCTCTGGTTTGTTTATATTTCTGTTTCCTCACAGCTGCACCATGTTTCTCATTTACCACCTGTTCCTTGTTCAGTAATCAATTCCTCTTGTTTAAATCTGATGGTCAGCTCAGTTTCTTTTCTCGTGTGACTGCTTGTTGTGGTAATAGTTTGGATTCATGCATTGACTTTAGTTTAGCTTTTTGTTTTTCTTTGAGAAATGTTGCCTGGCTCCTTGCATTTTGAGCCCTGAATTTTACTTGACAGTCAGAAATGTTATTCTTGACCTGTCTGGTGTTTTCCTTGATGTTCATGATGTTGTTTGCGCAAAAATGTTCTTTAACAATCCTCTGACATTTTTATAGAAGAGCTATAGCTTTACTGGGATTAAATTACAGACTTCAAGGTTTATCACTGAGGTGATTTCTGAAGGGAATTGGTTGCTCTTCACTACATTTAGGCCGAACATCACAGTTCTAGAACATGAAAATGAATATACAACACACTTCAAATGTTTCAGAGCATTTTGGAAACCATGTCCTTCCACACGATTGTGCACTATTTTGTGATGATCTTTCACAGAAATTCCCCCCAAAAGCTTGTCGTTGGAGTAAAAAGTCAGAAGCTTTGAAAACATGTTTTTATTTATTTTACTGATATTCACTTTTCTTTTGAAAAGATAATTATTTGACCCAAGTGACCTTGTATTGAGAGACAGGAAACATGGTGGGCAAAAGATCCAGAAACTGGCCTGATATTGACGATCAAACCCAAGACAACTGCATCAAGGGTTTTAGCCTCTGCACATGGTACAGATACTTGCATGTTTTCAATACATTGACTGTTTTCTTTTTTTTGCAAGATTTATGTCGCAGGTAGCAACAAATCCCTAAGATAAATTATTTTAAAGCAGTATGAATGTGTATGAGAACAAAATAAATGGCTCATATAAATTCCTGTATGTGTACAGACATTCATAACCAACGGCTATGAGTATGTCACACTTTTATGATTTTTTTTGCATATTAAAAAAATATCAGTGGTTGTCACAAACCAAACAGAACCCTGCAGAGAGACAGTCTGTTCACAGCCCTGTGGCTGTAGAGCTCTGTTGCTAAAGTCAATTGAACTTAAAAGCTCTACCCAGATCAGGCCTGGTGAGACCCTGAAGATATATGCGCCATACAGTTTGAGAACCCATATTACTAGTCTATGCAAGGTGTCGGTGGCTCACACTTTACAAAGAGTGAACACGGCTGCAACTGTGAGTTGCAGAGAAGTAAAAAAAAGAAGAAAACACTTTTATGTCTTATTTCGCCTTCCATTGCAGAACTTCAGAGTATTGTGCTGGAAGTCGTGGAGATGCATCTATTTAGCAGGGAGAAAATGTTTAATGGCATCATTGTGAGGGCTGTGGTGAGGGCATGTTTTAAATTGTTAATAAGCTTCATCTGCCAAGAAGTAAAGCTTGTTTGTGTGGGCTGGAGTCTTAAATTCTCCATGTGGGCTAATAAAAAAAAAAAAAAATCTGCTCAGGGGCTGAGAAACACAGAAGCTAAGGAGTGGGTGGCATAATGGTTCTGTGATGATTTGAGATGATGCACTATGAGAGGAAAAAAAAGAAACACAGGGCAGGAGGTCAGGAATTTTATTCATGTGACATGACAGTTGCCAGCAGATAATACAAGGTTTACATATGTAGCATGGAATAAAGCAGGATAAAAATTTTAATATCTGATGACTGATAAAGTACAGGAACAGACTAACTTGTGTGCTGGTATCCTTCTTGCAATCTGCTTTGCTCCTGAAGTTATGTGTCCATGTCTTTTACACTTCACACCACTGAAATCTGGTTAAATACAGATACAGACTCCGGTGGAATGAAGGATAGAATACATGGAATATTCCTGCAGAGTCTGAAATAAAAAAAAGACAAAATCACACAGTCAGAACATCTTTTCTCACACTCTGATTCTCACATTTCCCAAAGGTAATGAAACAATCAGTATTTTTATTTTATTTTTTGCAGCAGCAGCAGGTCCTAAGTCACATAAAGCCGTTAAGCTTTATTTTCTGTGTTAAGCGTTAGGATAGAGGCCAACCCTGAAACCTGCTGCAGTCTCAAACTGTGACTCCATGATTTATGAGGAAGCCTCTGAGGTTGAAGAGGTGGCAGTAGCTGCCCCAGAAGTTGAACGTCGACCTCTCCCTTTTTTTTGTGAGTTTTAAGTTAAACCTGAGCGAGACCGGGCCTGCCCTGCACCTTGACTCCAGGGTTTCCATGCTGCAGGTAAGATCCATGGCTCTGACAGGTTATCACAAGCCTGAGCTGAATTCTTGTTTAGTCATCAGCAATATGAACCCACATCAGCCCCTCTCAAGCTTCCCTTGCTATCAGCCAACCCAAGATTTGTGTTCCTGGAGTGAAAAACATTTATTTTCTGCTCGAATCACCTGCAACTTCCCAGTAGTGACCATTCGATATGTGATTTACTTACTTCTTCTGACCCAAAATGTCCCTCTTATTCTGAAATAAGATAAAAGTAATGTGATTTGTATATATATCTAAATAGTCGACCTAGATAAAGACACAATACTTACCTTTTATGTTCTGTAGCTCCCTCTGGTTTGCAAACAACGATGAAGCTCAACTCAGACTTTATGGAGGTTGAAGGTACTTCTGACAAGCTTTTCACTGACTTTTTTCTCTACCTCATTCAGGTGGTGTTTTAGACAACTGCACCAACCAATAAGATGCAAGAGCCTGAGAAGGACCACCCCGTTTTCTTTTCGTCTTTGTGAAAACCTGCCACACCTTCTTACGCGGAACGATCTTATTACCAAGAAACGTGAATGTAATATTTTAAAACTATGAAAAATACGGTCGTTTTAAGACCGTATTCTTAAAACGAATACTGTCAAAAATAGATTTACTGTTAGCACAACAGAGTTACCGTCTTATGTAGTTCAAAGGCAATGAAAAAGAGTTTCATGTAATATTTATCTAATAAGGGCCTTGTGTTCATTATTTGATGAGTCTCTGCTGTAATTTGTTCATTTTTATCCTCCCCTCGAGAGCGAACCGCATTCTGCATTAGACCAAATTGCTTTCATGAGCTCCTTAAACAAGTTCCTTTAAAAGAAATGTATTTCACAACTGCGGCAAGAAAGAAAGTGCATGTGCTGTTTGTTTAACATTTATATCTGTATGCATAGGATATAATCCCCCTCTTATTGAAATAACTCAGATGAGACAGCGATTTGTTTCATCTTTGTTCTTTGAACTGCATCCAAACATCTTACTTGAGTTTGAAATGCAAGTAAATATCCAGCTTTCAAACTTTTGAGAGAAATGGTGTAATGCCCGGCATCCTGTGCGTTGAAAGGAGGGACATTTTGAATAGATCTCCTCTCCTTCACAATGGCAGGGTGGAGGTTGAGGAGGGATTGGTGGGGAACAGCAGTGCTGACACATTCCTGAGGGCTGCATTGAGCCTCACCTGACGAAGTATTCCTCTCGTGGGAACATTCGTTTAGCCCCAATCTTCTTTATGCGTGATTTTATTGACAAGGACACCAGTATCTTTGACTTATGAGCTGTTGTTCCCCAGAGACAGGCTGTGTTTTATCTCAGTGCTTGGTGTGGACCAGATTGCTCAGGACAGTGAGACTTGTTCAGGGTAATCTTTAGGACCACTTCAAGGTGACAGGTGAAAAATGAGCCTGTAAAAACATACTGCTTAGAGCAGCTTTGGATCTGGGTAACTAAACAACTGAAAGAGTTTTTGAGATCGGTTTGCAGCACCGCAGGTTGAATTGCAAGGTGACCTTTGTGTTATGATTATGTTGTTTTGTTTAACCCCTTTCTAAAATCTTTTCACTGAGATTTTTCCACATCAGCAGCTTTTACTAAATAGAGCAAATAATTTTTTTAAATTCTGTAAAACTGGATGTGGTTGAAAGCTCTAC